GTAATAAATATATACTTTGCCATATAATTCAATATACTGGAGTAATCTCTAGAACAAAACGCTTTTTTAGTGACTGTGAAGGTTCGTTCGTTTTAAATACAAGCACACTCATCCAAAAACACCAACTGTGCCCTAACAGGAGTGCACCGACTCAACCCACAACGAAGGACGCCGTAGCACGCACTACTGCGTGTACTCCGTCCCCAGTAGCAGAGTTGTAGAAGTTTTGAGATAACAAAGTATAACTATACAATTATGCACAATAGGTGGTACCACAAAGGTGGTACAAACGCCCCCACGAAATTCCCATTTTGATACACTGCTGCACAGACTACCATTACAATGTAACATAATATGTAACGAAATTTAAGTGTATCTACACGAACCTCTGTTACATATATACTATGCACAGCCCGACTACATATTATCAGGAGTAAGATAATATAGGATATATTATCTATATATCCTATATAGCCTATATTATCTATATAGCCTATACATCCTATCTATATAGCCTATATTTCTTACTCCTGATATTATCAGGAGTGAAGAATAATAGATAATCGATTATTATTCACGCCTGATATTATGTATCAGTATCAGCAGTGAATACAAACAATTTGTTTTTATTCAATAATGATCAGCATGGATATAGGTTCATTTCAGTAGTTCATTTCAAGAGCTAATAAATAATAATACATGATTATCAGGAGTGAATAATAATAGATCTATTATTATTCACTCCTGTTATTATTATATATGTACATCAAGAATCGATAATAGAGTCTCTATTATGGACTCTTGATGTACACGTATTACTAGCTCCTGATTAAACTAATGTGATCCAGCCATGGTTCTAATGACTTCCCGTGCTCCTGCTGCTGCTGTGATTACTTCCGGGTGAAAGCCTCTAAGTGCATACAGCCACAATAGCAGGGTTAATTAGCAAGGTAGGTATATGACCAACCTCAGTGATTACCTATAACATACATGGTGCCCCATGACTTCAAGAGCAAGCATAACACAAAATCTCATCTCACTGCTACTCACCAGTAGTTCGATCACTCGATAAACAAGTGCCGCAGTGCGACAGGGCTCATCTGGTGTCTGGTGTTCTGCTGATAAATTCATTTGTGCATAGCAAGACGTCTTATACATAAGTCTTCCTTATTCTTAATTGTTTGACTTTCGTAGCCAATTGGAACAAATATATCAGCTACACTTTCGCACCCACCTAATCTCTATGTATTGCAGACACATGTGCATTGCAGGTTGGCAGGCAACAATTATGATTAGAAGCGTGCCAGCCATGGGCTGCCCGTGTTTTTGCCTACCCACACGAGCATTCACTGATTCAGCCTTCAGGGTGCTATAGACAGACTGCTTTAGAAAATAATAAGATTTAAGGAGCGTAAACCTTGTTCAACAAACATTTGCCTTTGCAATTAAACTGTGCAACTGTAGCCTCACATTCACACAGGTATGGGCTCTAATAATAGCAAAAGCAGCTCAGTCATTTGTTAACAGTCAACAAATCAATGGTTTAACCTCTCCTCTTGAGGCGTCAAAAGAGTTAGGTCCGGACACCTTACTCGTTGCGCCATGTCAGCCGGAAAGGTACTATGTTCACCGTCCTTTTCAATAAAGCCACTAAAATGCTAGGTCACCGCGTGACAACAAAAGTTTTCCAATCGCCTCCGTCAGGACCACTGTCCTCAGAAAATGTTCTAAAATTTCCCCTGTGCCCCATTGACTTTGACCTGTGACCTCCAATTCGCACAGGTAAATGGCTTTGCCTCATGATGCTATACCGCAACTATTCACGAGCTAGGGTCGAGCCGTTGAGATTTGCTGCCCGCAATTTCTGCATTTTCCTCCCGTCATACCTTAAGTTAAGGAGGAATGCTTCCCCCTTGTTTTTACACTCTTGACTTGACCTTTTGACCTCCAGCTGTCACATCCCAACTCGTTTTCGGTTCCCCCCCCCACGTCCGAATATCGTGAACGTGACGTTGCAGCCAGTTAAGATCTTGTGCCCAACTGTTGACGGACGCACGTGACAGACAATCATCGATTTCTACAAGCTGCACCCGACTACGTCAGATGAGCTAAAAATGTAAACAGCAAATTACAAATTCACATCATGCATGTGTTATGCCGTGCCATTCTATCGTTGACAGAGCTTGTAAAAAATACAAATAAAACAATCTAACGCGCTGTCACATATACGCGTGCACGCGTGCACGCGTGCACGCACTCATGCGCACGTACGCATGCACGCACGCACGCACACACCCAAACAAACACACTGTGACTAAACCAGGAAGTACTGCGCAGTATCTACCATAGCGTAGATCCGATCGTGCGAACTGTTTACACACGTTTGATGGTGTCACGGATGACCCCATTACTTATATCCTGTCATTGGACACAGTTCCTAGTTGGCTGATAGACAGACGTCAACCGTTTCCCCGCTCCAGCGCACGAGGTCAATTCCCTCATAACAATGCACAGTGTCAGCCTAGCAGGGGCTAGCACACACAGATAACGCCACGAATTTCACTTATGGAAGGCCAACGCAAATGTTACTCTACATTCTAGGGTTGATACTCCATTAGTAGTGTTCCCCAACTTTAAAATGTCACAATGGTCATAACTAACAGTAGATAGGTATATATATATAATATATATATATTATATACATTATGGTCATGGTCATATATTAGTTTGTGGTTTAATGTCATTTGGGTTAAGGTTAGGGTTAGGATTATCAATTATTAATCAATAATCAATAATCATTAATCATTAATCATTAATGATATCAAAGTTGGGAACACTCCTAATGGAGCGTTAGCCACATTCTACACGGCCCTCAGCGTATGTTTACACTAACAGTAACAGAATACACAGAGGAATGCTTACATCAGAGCAAGTAGTAAAATTTCTACTACGGAGTTACGCAGCTTTGATATAGTGAGAAAATTGTTTGAATGTAGCCTTTATCACAACATTAGTATATATATGTATCTATATAATACCAAAGTTTATCAATACTAGTGATATATTTTTTTTATTGCTAATATATATGTATACGATATAAATGTAGGTACCTGACTGACATTCCCCAACTCAAAGTATATTATTAAAGATCAGATGTTAGGACAAATTTCACGTAAATTGTGCTTATGCATTGCTACGTTGCGTGCGATAATGCTTCTAAGTAATATCACATACCAGCAACAACATCAATAACTGGATTCAATAAATAAATGCTCTCCAAAAACCCTCATAGGTACATGATGCAAAGCATCCAGTCGCATTATGATTTCGAACAGCGAAGTGTTGCGATTCAACAAAGTGCCATCAATGGTTCCGAATTATTTAAAGCCAGGATTTCGAAATCAATTCTCAAAAACGCAAAGTCCAGAAACGTGTAGCGAAATGTAGTCTCACTTATTACCAGATATGTGACTGATTATACCAACTTGAAAAACACTAAGAATTTATGCTGTTATAGCAAAGTGCCATCAATGGTCCGAGTTATTAAATGAATGCCTGTGTACACCACACCGTGCATTATTTAGAAGGGGATTCGGGAGAGCATAGATTGAAGGTCAGTCTGAATAGATATCACTATGTATATTATACATTGCGTAACAATATTCTATGTCCGCCTAGGGACTGCAAGCGCAATACGGAGTGCAAACGACACTCAGCAGTAATAGCCTGCATTATCAGCGCCTAAGAGCTGGTCACGACAACTGATTAACACGCCCTAAACACACAGCCAAAGACATACACAACGCACCACACACACAACGCGAGCGCAGGCGGCGCGCGACACGCACCAAGCCCGGCCAGCAGGCGCTACGAGCAGGGTCGGAGCCCCGGAGGCTGGAATGTAACCGGCCAACCCACGCACACACCACAACCGCAGGCCCGACACACACACAGCACGAACAGTCATCACCAAACAGCCGCACCCCGCAGGCCAACGCACCGACAGTATGAGCGACACCGGCTCCGGCACAGTATTTTCTGCGGACACACGCGGGAGCCACGCTCAGGCGAGCGACGCGCAGGGCCGCCGCACTGGCAGCGACATGGGAGCCGCGGCACGCACGCCGCCGATAACAATAGACTTTACAAGACGTTGTCGATACTCCCGCCGGCGGCGCGAAGCGGCCGCCGGGGCACCCCGAACGGCGCAGAGCCGGGGGGCGGACACCGACCGGACGGCGCAGGTGCCCCGCCCACTCGATTCCCCGCGCATGCGCTACAGCCGCTAGGCAGAGGGGCTCCCTACGCGGAGCCCGCCGCGACGCCCGTGCGCGCAGCAGCGAGGGCCTGGATCACATGGACCGACGCGCGACCCCCGACGGCGCAGAATGGCGGCTGCGCTCTAGGCAGAGATACGGCGTGAGTCGGGGCAGCCCAGAAGAACGTACCGACCCACCGGGAGGGAGTGGCGGCGGACCGGCGGCGGCGGGGGCGACGCACGGCGCACCCGTCGCGAGGGTCGCCCCAGGCAGGGCGGGAGTAACGACCGGCGAGCGCGCCGTCCGGGGCGCGCCGTTGGCCGCGGGACGGGCGTCGGCTGCCTCGGCGGTCGCTAGCGCCTGCCGACGACGGACAGCGCAATGCCGGAGCTTGCGCGGGCGTAGTACGTCGCATGATGATCGCCCTGCTGGTAGGGCAAAGCGGCCGGCGGCGAAGCGGTTGAACCGCGATCAAGCAGGTCGAGACGGCAGCAGCACGCGCGCCGCCGCCCCGGGCCCGGCACGGCTCCGCGCCAAGCACAAGCGTGTCGCTTCCACGTCGCACTAGGCGGTGTCGTCGAAGGAAGCTGGACGACAGCAGCCGATGAGCGCGGACACCACATCATGAAACGCGCATGAGCGGGACGTAAGCGTCGGGGTGCAGCGGCGACGGGCGAACGCCGTCGAGCGGCACCCGCGAGAGCGCTGGTAGATGCAGTCCGCGGAGCGGCGAAGGCGCGCTCAGGACGCCAGCCGGCGCACACCGAGCCGGACCGTATCGCCGGGTTGACACGGCCCGGCCATCCCCGAGAACCGCGCGGGAAGGCTGCCGTCGGGGGCAGACCGCGTAGCGCCTAGCGCCCGCCCGCGACGCCACATGCCGTGCAGGAAGTAGGCGTCCCAGACGAGCAAGCGGCGTCGCCGAGGGCACGCGTCGACTTGTGTACGGCGAGGACCCCCGGCGACTGATGCGTGCGGCGAGTACGTCGTCACCTCGTGACGTCCGAACAGGTTCATGCCGTGCAGCAGCACGAAGACGATGAGCGAGATGACGGGCAGGCACTTGACGAGCATCGCGAGCGCCGACGGGTGCGTGTCCGGCAGGAAGAGCACGAAGTAGACGGCCGCCGTCTTGAAGAACGGCACCAGCTTCGGCCCGACGCTCTCAGCCTGCAACGAGAAAAGAGGACGCCGGTGAGGCGACGAGGAAAGAGGGCGCCGGATTGAGCGCGATCGCAGGAATAGAAGGCCGCGGCGGTGAGGGCGTACGAGGAAAGAGGCGCGGCCGGTGAGCGCGACGAACGAAAGAGGCGCCTGGTTGATGTGAGACGAAGATAGAAGAAAAGAGGGCCCGAGTGAGGCAAGAACGTAAGTATGTTAACAATAAGCTAGGGACGTCCGGTGAGAACGCAAGACGAAGATCATGAAAAAAGAGGGGCGCTATGGCGAGGGATCGCACGACTGAGAAAGAGAGGAGCGGTGAGGAAACTGACCAGGAAATAGGGCGCTGCGAGTAGAGGCGACGTGATCAGATGGAGGCAAGAGGGGCGCCGGTAAGTGCGACGACTGAGAGAAATAGAGGGCGCCGCAGTGAGGCGGACGATAACAGAGGAGAGGGCAGCCAGGAGGCCGACAACAACGCTGGAGAAGAGGGCGCAGGTGAGGCACATACAACAAAGATAGGGCGTCGCAGTGAGGCGGACAGACAACGAAGAGTAGGGCAGGCCGTGAGCGCGAAACGAGATGAGAAAAGAGGGCGCCGTGAGGTGACGATAATGCAGGAAAGAGGGCGCCCGGTAAAGCGACGAGATGATGATGCGAGGAGAGGTAGTGGCTCACAATTTCTGCACACTCGCCGCGTGACGTTACATCATGGGGATCATTAAATGTGTTAAAGTAAATTCAGGTATAAGATATTCACTAAATTAGATATTGAAGTAAATATATTAAATATATTAACTATTATTACATGCATAAATGTTTATGTTATAATTTATTGAGAAGCTGTTGTGGTGGAGGTGTGTGATGCTGGGCTGAGGATCTGGTGGGGGTGAGATAGCTTGGGTGGAGGGTGGAGGATGCTGGGTGTCCGAATGGGTGACGACCTGGGCGGAGAATGATGATGCGTTGCTGGATGGAGTGGTGTGAGGATGCTGGAGGAGGGTGAGGCTGTCATGGAGTTCGAGGCGTGAGACTCGGGTCGGCAGGATGAGGTAATGCTGGGTGGGAAGTAGGTGAGATGCTGTGGCCAGAGATGCTGGATGGAAGGTTGAGGATGCGCTGACTGGAGGTGAGAACTGCCGTGGAGAGCGGTGACGGATGCTCGGTGGAGGGTGAGAATGTGGGTGATGATGAGGAGGCAGGTGGCATGATGAGGATGCTGGGTGACAGCAGTGAGGAGTACTGCGCGTGAGGGTGAGTGGCCGCCTGACTGGAGGTGGAGCGATGGGCTGGGTGGAGGGTGGAAGATGCTTGGAGGTGAGGGTGAGCGATGCCTGGTGGAGGATGCTGGATGAGGGTGAGGAGCGGTGGAAGGTGGATGCTGGATGGAGGTGAGAACCGCTGGGTGAAGGTGAGGATGCCTGGGTGGAGGATGCTGTGGCGAGTGAGAATGATGGTTGGATGATGAGAGCCGCGATGCCTGGGGGGGATGATGCATGCGTGGGGTGGAAAGTCGAGATCGCTGGGTGAGGGTGACGGCGCTGGACCTGGAGGGGTGAGGATGCTGGGTGGAGGGGAAGGAGCTGGTGGAGGGTGGAGATGCTGGGTGGAGTGATGCTGCATGGAAGGGTGGAGGATGCTCCGGGTTGGAGGGTGGAGGATGGCTGGGATGGAGGGGTGAGACTGCTGGGTGCGAGGGTGCAAAGCAGGCTCGGTGGAGGTTGAGGATCTGGGGGAGGTGCAGGGATGCTGGTGGAGGGATGACGGATCGCTAGGTGGCCAGGATCGGAGTGAGGTCGCTGGACTGGAGGGTGAAGGATGCTGGGGAAGGGTTGAGAGATCGCTGGGTGGAGGATGAGGATGCGCTGGTGGAAGGGGAGGATGCTGGGTGGAGGGTGACGGATGCGGGTGGAGGGGAGAGCGATGCTGGGTGGGAGGGTGAAGATGCCTGGGGGAGGGTGAGGAGGCTGGTGTGGAGGGTGAGCTCTGTGGCGGATGGGTGAGGATGCGCCTCGGTGGAGGACAGATACTGGGGTGGAGAAGGAGGATCAGCTTGGGTGGAGGCGTGAGGATGCTGTGTGAGGTGAGACTCCCGCTGGTGGGAGAGGTGAAGGATGCGGGGTGAGGGTGAGGATGGCGGTGGGGGTGAGATGCTGGGTGGAAGAAGGGTGGGAGGATGCTGGTGGAGAGTGAGGATCGCTGATGGACGGGGTGAGGGATGATGGATAGAAGGATGGAGACCTAGCTGGATGGAAGAGGGGTTGAGGATGCGGGGGTGAGGGTGAAGGAAGCTGGGTGGGCAAGGGCGTGAGATGTGGCGGGGTGGAGAGTAACGGGATGCGGCGGGGGGTGGAGCGTGAGCGGATCTGAAGTGGAAAGGTGAGGATGCTGGGTGGAAGGGTGAGGATGGTGGTGGAGGGTGAGGATCGCTGGAAGTGGAGAGGGTGAGGATGCTGGGGGAACGGAGAGAGAGAGGGGAGGTGAGCAGCTGCGGGACTGCGAGAGTGAAACGGGATGCTGGGGATGCGAGGGTGAGGAGTGCTGGGGGTGAGGAAAAGAGGTGAGCGATCTTGGGTGGAAAGGGTGGAGCGGGAGATGGCCTGGTGAGGGCTGGAGACCCTGGGCGGACGAACGGTAAGGATGGTGAGATGCTGTGAGGAAGATATGCCGAGGGTGGACGGAGTGAGGCATGCGGTGTGAGGTGAGGGATGCTGGGTGGGAGGGCGGGAGGTGATCGCTGGGTGGAAGATGCTGGGTGGAGAGTGAGCGATGCGGGGTGGGAGCGTGCGAGGGGGAAGATGTGGTAGGACTAGGAGATGAGGAGGTGAGTTGACTGGCGGGTGAGAGGGGTGGAGGGATGCATGGGTGCGAGGATGAGGATGGCCGGGTGGTCGAGGGTGAAGGCGCAGATGCTGGTGGATGAAGAGGAGATGCTAGTGGGGGTGGATGAATGCTCGGGGTGGGGTGAGGGGGCTAGGCTGGAGGTGGTAAGGTGGTGAGCGAGCGGGGGCTCGATGGAGGAGTCGCTAGGGCTGGAGGGTAGGATGGCGTGGCTGGAGGATGCTGGATGGAGGGTGAGGGATCTGGTGGAGAGGGTGAGGATGCATGGCCTGGCTGGGGAGGAGGGCTGGGTAGAGGACGGGGTGAGGAGATAGCTGGACTGGAGGGTGAGACTAGCTCCAGGAGTGGACGGAGGTGCTGAGGGCGGGGGAAGGGTGAGGACGCTGGCGTGGAGGGTGAGACTGCATGGGGTGGCAGGGCGGCAGAGAGCCTCGGTGAGGGTGAGGATGCTGGATGGAGAGGTGAGCGATGCTGGGTGCGCACGGGCTCAGGATCTGGGTGGAGGTGAGATGCTGGTTGGAGGTGAGGCGCGGGTGGGAGGTTGAGGATGGCGGTGGAGGTGAGGCTAGCTGTGAATGGAGGGCTGAGAAAAAAATGGAGGGTGAAGATGTGGGTGGATGGGTGAGGATGCGTGCTGGAGATGAGGGTGAGTGAGGCTGGGTGGAGGTGACGGCTGCTGGAATGGAGGGTGAGGATGCTGGGTGGAGGGTGAGGATGCGGTGGAGGGTAGGATCTGGGTGGAGGGTGAGCGGATGCTGCGTGGAAGGGTGCGGATCGCTGGAGGGGAGGGATGCTGGGTGAAGTGAGGATGCATGGGTGACACGGGTGAGGATGCTGGATGGAGGGTGAGGACCTGAGTGGAGGGTTGAGGATGCTGGTTGAGGTGAGGATGCTGGGGGGAGGTGAGGATGCTGGGTGGCGAGGTGAGGATGCTGGATTGGAGGGTGAGGACTGCTGGGTGGACGGGGAGGAAGCGCTGGGTGAGGGTGAAAGCGACAATTGCTCGGTGGCAGCGGTGGAGGATCGCGTGGAGGTGAGGATGCTGGTGGAGGGGTGACAGAGTGCTGCGATAGGAGGATGCTGGATGGAGGGGAGAAGCTGGGTGGACGGGTGAGACTCAGCTGGGGAGGGTAAGGATGCTTCGGGTGCGAGGGAGTGAGGATGCCCGGATCGGGGAGAGGTGAAGCTGAGTGGAGGTGAGGATGCACGGATGAAGGGAGTGAGGAACTGCTGGGTGGAGGTGAAGACTGTGGGTGGACGGGGAGGATGCTGGGGTGGAGGGTGGAGGATGCTGGGTGACGGGGAGGAGCTGATGAAGGTGACCGGGCGCCTCGCTGGTGGGGGTGGCATGCGCGCAACCGGGACCCACGCCCAGCGGGGGCTGGGTGGGGGGGATGAACAGGGTGGAGGGTGAAGGATGCTGGGTGGCAGGTGAGACTTGCTGGATTGAGGGTGGTGGATGCTGCGTGCAGGGTGAGGATGCTGGGTGAGGGGAGGATGCTGGGTGAAGGGTTAGGATGCTGGGTGGAGGTGAGGATCGCTGGAATGGAGGATGCTGGGTGGAGGGGAGGCTGCTGTGGAGGGTGAGGTGCGGTGGTAGGGTAGGGATGCCTGCGTGGGAGGGTGAGGAGCCGGGTGGAGGGCAGGATGCTGGGTGGAGTGAGAGATGCTGGATGGAGAATGCCTGGCTGGAGGGTGAGGCTGCTGGGTGGAGGTGACGATGCTAAGGGTGGGAGGGTGAGGATGCTGGGGTGGAGGGTGAAGGATTGCTCGGGTGGAGAGTGAGGATGCTGGGTGGAGGGTGAGGATGCTGGGTGAACGGGTGAGGAGCGGGTGAAGGGTGAGGATGCGGGATGAGGGTAACGATGCTGGGTGAGGGTCAGCATGCGGGGGTGGAGGGTGAGGCATATGCTGGTGGAGGGTGAGGATGCTGGGGGAAGAATGCATGGGTGGAGGGAGGAATGCCTGGTTGGGAGGGTGAGGATGGCTGGGTGGAGGGTGAGGCATGCTTGGGTGGAAGGTACATTGGAGGGCGCATATATGCCTATAACCTATAGTCCCATAAACTTAAAAACAAACTTGAGCGACGTCGTGACGAACTTGCTGTGTATCAGTATGAAAGCAGCGTGACAGCTGGGCAAGCAATGATCAATTCACTAAAAGG